ATGTCCAAAATATTAAAGATATCCACATTTAAAAAAATACTAAAAAATATTAAAAGTTATACTTTAAATTAATGAAAATATTTAAAAAAAGTTATATTTATTAAAGTATTAAAAAATATTCTGTAATATATAAGTTAAAAATATTATCATTAAATTTTTAAAAAATTATTAGTTTTGTAATTTATACACAATAAAAATAAATTACAAATATTATAATATAATGATATATTAATATAATATAATATATTTGTATTCTAATTTTTAATTAAACTAAAATTACGCTAATAATGTATAATAATATATGAGGGGATAATATTGATATATTGATATATATATATATATATATATATATATATATATATATATTTATATATTTATATATTGATATATTAATATATTTATATTTTGATATATTTATATATTTATATTTTGATATATTTATATTTTGATATATTTATATATTTATTTATATCCTTATACATTTATATCTTTATATATTTATATATTTAAAAAATAAAAAATTTAAATATTAAAATTTAAAAATAATATTATATTTTTAAAAATAAATATTAGAAAAAGATTTAAAAATATATATAAATTATATTTACATGTACAAAATATTAAAGATATATATTTATATCTTTACATATTTATATATTTCTATTTTATATCTTTCTATCTTTACATATATTTATATCTTTATATCTTTACATATATTTATATATTTATATCTTTATATATATATATATATATATATATATATATATATTTATATATTTATATATTTATAAAATCTATAAATACAAATATATTTATATATTTTAATATATATTTAAATATTGATATATTTATATATTTACATATTTATATATTTTTATATTTATATATTTACATATTTATATATCTATATATTAATATATTAATATATTGATATATTGATATATTTACATATTTATATATATTTATATATTTATATATTAATATATTTATATCTTTATATATTTAAGAAAAAATTAAAAATTTTAATATTAAATTTTAAAATAATATTTTATTTTTAAAAACAAATATTAGAAAAAGGTTTAAAAATATATATAAATTATATTTACATGTACAAAATATTAAAGATATATATTTATATCTTTACATATTTATATATTTATATCTTTATATTTTTACATATATTTATATCTTTATATTTTTACATATATTTATATCTTTCCATATTTATATATAAAGATATTAGTTTTGTATATAAATAATATTATAATATAGTATATTATACTATTAGTATAGTATACAAATAATATATTAGTATAGTATAGTATACAAATTATTAATTTTTTAATTTATATACAATGAAAATAATATAATGGTATATTAGTATAGTATATTTGTATTCTAATTTTTAATCAAACTAAAATTACGCTAATAATGTATAATAATATATGAGGAGATAATAAATTTAATCCAATTACTTTTATAAATATATAAATATAAAATCTATAAAATTTTAAAAATGATATTATATTTTTAAAAACAAATATTAGAAAAAGGTTTAAAAACATGTATAAATTATATTTATATGTCCAAAATATTAAAGATATCCACATTTAAAAAAATACTAAAAAATATTAAAAGTTATACTTTAAATTAATGAAAATATTTAAAAAAAGTTATATTTATTAAAGTATTAAAAAATATTTTGTAATATATAAGTTAAAAAAATTATCATTAAATTTTTTAAAAATTATTAGTTTTGTAATTTATATACAATGAAAATAATATAATGGTATATTAGTATAGTATAGTATATTTGTATTCTAATTTTTAATTAAACTAAAATTACACTAATAATGTATAATAATATATGAGGGGATAATAAATTTAATCAAATTACATATATATATATATATATATATATATATATATATATATATATATATATCTTTTTTAACTTTTTTTTTCTTTTTAAACTTCTCACATTCTACATTGTTTTTAAACTCTATCATTTTTACTATATTATCATCCTCATTTCCTCCCATATTCTATTTTATTTTATAATAATTAGTCTTCTTTTATAGAATACTTTATTTTCTATTTTTATTATTTATTTTCTTATAATTTAAAATAATTAATATTATTTTAATATTTATTTTTATGATTTTTACTATAATAAATCAAATTAAATGATTTGATAATATCAATTAATTAAAATCATCACATAAAAAGTTTAGATAACTACATTAAAATTATTAATTTTTAAAATACAAAATATATTTAAAAAAAAACTCAAATTATAGATTGGAAATAAAATAGAATAAACAAATACTCTTTACTTTATATTATATTTAAGTGTGTGCACAAATGTTGACCTTCTTAACTATAAAGAAACAGTAGAAAAATATAAAGATAGTATTTGAAGAAGTAAATTTTGAAGATAAAGACTATTTTTATATAAATTTATTCTAGTATATCAATTAACAATAATAATACATAAAATTTAAAAACTAAACTAAAAAAAGTAAGTTTAAATTTATAAAAAAATACATTACTAAAAATATCATATTATATTAAGATTTTCATTATTTTCGTTAATTATAAATTTAAATGTGTTTCATAAATAAAATTATAAATTTAAATGTATTTCCACTTTTGATCCATCATAAATAAAAATAAATAGTCTTTTATAAATGTTGTTCTATTTTAATCCATCATTAAATTTGTTTTATATACTGAATTTGATGACTTATCATGTTATTAAAAATTTGGATGAAATAATTATGTATAATACTTTTTTAGTATATTATGTTTTTAAATTTGTTAATAGAGAAAAAGTTTTGAATTCAAAATGTTAAATACTTTTAAATATTAAAATTGACTTTATAAAAAATTAGGAAAAAAATAATTAATCCAAAAATATAATAATGATAAAAATATTATAAAAAAGAGTTAAAAATGTATTATAATATTTTCAGTTTTAGTTTAATTATATTTTTAATTCTCAAAGTAGAAAAATATATTGTAATTATTTTAATTTAATAAAATATAATTTAGATTTTTAATACTAAAATTAAAATATTAAATAATAATAAATTTAATTCTTTAAATTTAGTATTTAGAAACTAAAATTATAGTTTCTCTCTTTTAAAAAATTAAAATAAATATTTAAAAATAAAAATAAAAACTAGTATTATCTTAACTTTATTAAAAATATAATTAAATATCTATTTTCTTATGCAATTTTAGAAAATTTTTAATGAAAATCCAATATATAAAAAAGTTAAAATTTTAAAAAGGCACAACCTTAATTTATATTAACTATTTTTAATATAAATTTAAATATACGTTGAATATAAATTTCAAAAAGACACAACCTTAATTATGTTGAATATAAATTTAAATATATTTTTCATTTATTTAAATATGGTTTATTTTTAGTATTTATAAAATAGATTAATTTTAAATTTTTAATCTTTTTTATTAATTATGTTAAAAATAAAAAATATTAATTAGTATACTTAAACTAAAAAATATGTTAACTAGAGATAAATATATTTTTATAAATAGTTTAATTAAATAATATATTTATTATCTAATGTATATTGATATAAATTTTTTTGGTATATTATGACAACAACCATGATTAAGTAATTAATAATAATAAAGCAATAAATTTAAAAATTAGATTAAAAATAAAGTATTATAAAATAAAATTGTAATAATTTGATTAAAATTGTATTTTTTTAATTAATTAAGTTAATGAGGAATTAAAATGTGATAATTTGATGTGTTTAATTTTTTTAATATAAATTTTTAAAATATAATTTAATTTCAATTGAAAAATAAATTAAAGAATATTTGTTATTAAATTTTTCTTAAACAATGTATTGAATAGTTAATATCACTCTAGTCTTAATTTATTACAATTTAAATTTTTAATAAATTTGATTTATTATAATTCATTTTGTTAATATTGAGACCAAAGTTTATTTTTAAAGTATATTTTAAAAATTAAATTATTTAAAAAAAAATTACTTTTAAAAAATAAATTGTAAAAAATATATACTAAAACAATTAAAGTATATTTATAAAAAAATAAATTTAAATATAATAAAAAAATAATATTCATTAGCGATCGATTTCAATTCGATCGCTATTTTCTCATTAGCTGACTGATTTTAATTCGGTCACTATTTCAATTTATAATTCGGTCGCTAAATCGATCGCTAAATGATTTTTTTATTTTAGTATGGAATAACCACCGATTTAGCGACCGAAATTTTGCGACGCAAAATATTGATCGCTATTTCGGTCGCTAAATAAAAAAGTGAAACCAAATCATATTTTGGTGGCTAAATCGGTCGCTAAATTGCGACCAAATTAACTTGGTCGCTAAATCGGTCGCTAATTGCGACCGAATTAAAGTGGTCGCTAAATTGGTTGCTAATTGTGACCGAATTAAATCGGTCGCTAAATCGGTCGCTAATTGCGACCAAAATTATATCGGTCGCCAAATCGATCGCTAATTTCGATGACTAAATGTGTTTTTTCTTGTAGTGATTGCTCGTTGAGAAGAAAAACGAAAGAGTAAGTGAAAACGTAAGCAAGCGTAAATGACATTGAGGAAGAGAAATTAGGTTAGACGTGAATTAGAAGAGAACAATGCGTGGTTGCCATTAGTCCTTATGCAGAAAAATGAATATCTGAAGGCTTTGTGACAGATTGAAAGTCGGGAAGTCGTGTGGCAACGATGTCTACCATAATTCATCTTGGTCTCCTCAACAACCACTGTGAAAGTATAATATACGTGTTGAGGTATTTTATTTCTCCCAATCTGTAAAAATGTTTGAGTGGAAGAGGTAGGGCAGAAGAAGGAAAACATACGATAGGGATTAATTGTGACAGTAATGGTATTTTCCAGTGACGCTAAGAGAGCTGCAGACTAACTATGACTGTATTGTTCACGTCTCTGATGGGTTTGGTGATTTCAATAACAATAGATGGACTCTAGCCTGACTATAGTGATGGAATTTAGCCATCTGGAGGTAGTTTCAATCCAAAAGAGGTACATTCCGCAACCTTAATTTGCAAATCATTTTATTACAAATAACATTTACTGGTTTCATGCTTTGATGACGGATAGAAATTTGGTTAAGAGTTATACTGAAGGTTTTAGCTCTTCTTTCAGATTTACCAGGTAATTAATTTAATGATAAAGTATTAAGCACTGATTGAAGAAAGCCAAGACACTTTTTTTTGCTTGCGAAACTACAATTTTAATCCTTTCGATGTTAATTAGTTTTGTAATTTTGTTAGTTGTACTAGTGTTAATAAAAATATTTTTTATTCTTATATTTTTTTAAATCTATTTTTGGTTTTTGTACTTCATGATTTAGGTCTTTCGAGGTGTAATTTTAGTTATTTTTTCTCTTAATTTAATATTTAATGATAATTTTTTACATTAATAAAATTCATAAAAACGATAAATGTAGTTTTAGGATTTCTATATTTGAATCTAATGTTCTTTTTATCATGTTTTTATTATAATAAAGTTGATAAAAAATTAAATTCATATATATTTTTAAATTTTGAAAATTAATTATAATTTTTAAAACATAATACCTAAATCAAATTTCAAAGTTGCATAAAAAAAAACATATCTAACTATAATTTAAAAAGAAAACGAAAATTTATGTATAAATTTTATAAAAGGTTAAGTGTCCGTAGAATTCAATAAAACTCTAAAGAATATTACACAATTTTTTTTTTAAATCTTTCAAAGTGAGTATTACTCTAATTTCTTAAAAGGCTAAAGGTCTTAATGCGTCGCGTCGACGACTATAAAATAATTAATATTTTGGATCGTTTTGAGTGGGTACAAATAATTTATCTTAGTAATATAACATTTAATTCTATATAAATTTTTTAAATTGGAAAAAATGTGAAAAAATTTCTATATTTGTATGATTGTAAAACGGATAACTTTTTCATATTTTTCTTAAACCAATGTTATATCATAATTAAATTATTCCATGTTTACGTATGGGAGAGCAATGTATCTAAAAGAAGATAAAGGTAAAGGTAGTGGCACTTCATCACATTATTCCTCTCTCTTCCAACAGTTGAAACCCTGATCAGTTCCTTTATGGAATTCGCGTTGTCTTCATGCGATGTGCTCATCAACTTTACCGGAGAAGACATCCGTAGGAAGTTCGTTTCTCATCTCGATTCTGCCCTCTCAGCTACTGGACTGACCACTTTCCTTCACGAGGAGAGTCTAGTCAACGCTCTGCAGCTCCAAGATCTAACACAACCGAAAGAATTGTGTCGGGTAGTAATAGTTGTTTTCACCGAAACCTATGCTGAATCTGCTTGGTGCCTTCATGAGCTTCAACAAATCATTAAATGGCACGAAACTTATTGCCGGCATGTTCTGCCGGTATATTACGAAATTCAGCCATCTGATGTACGGCTTCAGAAGAGTAATTTTGGAAAAGCCTTGAAAGCAACTGCACAACAAACATTTTCAGGACAAGAAGTGGAACATGCCTTGTCCAGGTGGAGACGCGCACTCACCAAAGCCTCAAATTTTTTTGGGTGGGATGAGAGCAATTACAGGTAACACTCAATGAATCTTATTTTAAGCTTGTGATTTCATTTTGGTAATACATGACTAGTTCTGTAATTCCAACATGAAGGAGTGATGCTGAACTAGTGGACAAAGTTGTTAAGAGCGTTCATCATTTACCAGTCTTGACTGCTACTAAATTTCCAGTTGGATTACAGTCCCATGTGGAAACACTTATTCAATATATTGAAAATACCAAAGTCAGTATCATAGGGATATGGGGAATTGGAGGAGTGGGTAAAACCACCATTGCCAAAGCCGTCTACAACCAAATTCATGGTACATTCATGTATAAAAGTTTCATTGAAGATGTTGCAGAAATTTGCGAAAGAGGGCATGTTCATTTCCAAGAACAACTTCTTTCAGATGTCCTAAAAACAAAAGTGGAGGTAAATAGTATTGAGAAGGGAGCAAGTTCGATTCAGGAAAGACTTTCTTGGAAAAGGATGCTCATTGTACTTAATGGTGCGAATCAATTTTACCCATTGAAAGACCTATGTGGAAATCGTAAATGGTTTGGTCAAGGAACTGTGATAATCATTACAACTAGAGACGTTAGCCTACTGAAAGAACTCAATGTTAATTATGTTTATAAAATCAATAACATGAACGAAAATGATTCCCTTGAGCTTTTTAGTTGGCATGCTTTTAGAGAAGACAAACCAATAGAAGATTTCGATGAACTTGCAAGAAATGTAGTTGCTTATTGTGAAGGACTACCGCTAGCTATTGAGGTCCTTGGATCTTATTTAAGTGGGAAGACAAACATAGAGTGGAAAACTGTATTGTCAAAACTAGAAATAATTCCCATTGGTCAAGTTAAAGAGAAATTGAGAATAAGTTTTGAAGGTTTACGCGATGACATGGAAAAGGATATATTTCTTGATGTCTGTTGTTTTTTTATTGGTAAAGACAGAGACTATGTTACAGAGATATTAAATGGCTGTGGTCTACATGCTGATATTGGAATAGCAGTACTGATACAGTGTTGTCTCTTAATAGTTGATAAGAATAACAAACTTCAAATGCACCCTTTGGTGCAAGATATGGGAAGAGAGATTATTCATAGAAGTTCAACAAAGGAACGTGAGAGGCGCAACCGACTATTTGCTGGCGATGCAAAATTTGTACTGACAAAGAAGAATGTGAGAGAACTAGTATTTTTATATGGTTTTGAAAGTGTTCGCTTTTTAATTTGCAATATACATGTATAGCTATGCTCTTCTAGTGAGGGATTTCTCAATTGCTTTTCTTCGTTCTTTTTATCACAGGGAACAGAAGCTATTCAGGGATTGGCTCTGAAGTCACCATTACCCGCCACATCTTGGTTGGAAATTTCTTCTTTCCAGAATGAGCAGTTATTGAGACTGTCGGACTTTGACACTCTACTATACACTGGAGACTATCCGAACCTTTCTAAGCAACTGAGATGGATCTGTCATCACGAGTTTCCTTTCAAACATATACCTGAAAACTGTGATATGGAAGGTGTGATTGCGATTGATTTGAAATGCAGTAATCTTCGACGAGTCTGCAAAGAACCATGGGTATATATTACGTGCCTTTTTACTTCTAAAACTCATTGGTTAATTAAAATTGAAATATTATAACTGATTTCAGTTATAACTACAGCATTTTTTTTTTTAATTTTCTTTGATCTTTTTCAAAAAAATCATCTTTTTGTAGGTTTTAAGGGGGCTAAAGTTCCTTAATCTAAGTCACTCCAAGTACTTAACTGAAACACCTGACTTTTCAGGACTACCAAGTCTTGAAAAGCTTATTCTAAAGGATTGTCCAAGATTGTGCAATGTACACCAATCCGTAGGAGACCTCTGCAGTCTATTAATCATGAATTTGAAGGACTGTATAAATCTAAGCTATCTCCCCAGAGAGGTATATAAGTTGAAATCTTTAAAAACTCTCATCCTGTCTGGTTGTTCCAAGATTGACATTTTGGAAGAAGATATAGTGCAGATGGAATCCTTGATAACACTAATTGCTGAAAATAAAGCTGTGAAACAAGTTCCCTTTTCTGTTGTAAGGTCAAAATGCATTGGATATATATCCTTACATGGATTTGAAGGATTGTCACACAATATTTTTCCTTCTATCATTGGGTTTTGGATGTCACCAACAATGAATCTCCTATCTTATATTAACCCGTTTTGCGTGGATATGGAGAATAATAATTGGTGTGACCTTGCGCCACTGTTTAGCAGCCTTGCAAATCTTCGAAGTATTTCTGTTCAATGTGACACGGAGCTTCAACTTTCTCTGCAAGTAAAAACAATTTTTGTCGAATACAGAGTAAATTTTACGGAATTAAGCCTTTCAAAGCCTCACGTGAGGTTTTCTTTGATTGGTGTTGGACGTTACAATAAATCCTTCAACACTCTCAGTGATACCATATCCGAGGTTTCTTCTCTACCTTTTACCGTTCTGTATTACCTTCACCATTCATTTTAGCTATTTAAAGAACATGGAATTAATGGTCCTAAGAAAGTATCTAAAAGGAATTGATAGTTGCATCGCTTCATTTAAAAGTAACTGATTTTATTGATCAACAAGCCAAATGATCATGCTACACTTGGGAATCGTTGGTTAGTGAAGGGTGAGTTTAGGAGAAATGTTGAATCGATGGGAACTATTAGAAGATTGACAAGCAGAAAGTTTTATAGAAAAGTGTAGAAGTTATATTGATTTGATGGAACTACTCTTTCATTGGAATGAAGGCTACTGCTTTTATTCACGGGTTACATTGTGCTGATTGTATTTATAGGCTTTTTGCACCTCTTTTACAAATAGCGGTTACCAATTTCAAATACTTTTAGATTAATCTAATGTTTTCTTTGTTTTATTTTTTTTTTTTATTACATATTTTACAGGTTTATCGAAAATTCTAGACTTACATGGCATTTCTAGAGCAGAGTCACCGTGAATATAAAACTCAGCACTTTCAACAAATTTCCATTGATCATAAAAATATGTTGGGAATATAGGTTTAAAGACATGTAATACTTTGACAGAAATGAATTCTAAATTGCTACTTATCTGCTTTTGATATATGCACAGAAAAAACTATTAACAATTTGGTTAAATTTCATCGCTGTAGTACTTTATAATTTGATTATAAAGCCTATTTTATCTTTTGGAATACATTGTAATTTGATAAAGAATGCTAAGTTTTTTTAGTTTGTATTAGTATGTTAGGAAGAATAAGAAGGATGGTTAAGTAGTGTAGATTGTAGAAAATTATATATATATATATATATATATATAACAATCATTCACAGCCATTAGACAATTTTTTTTTACCATTTACTTCTCGCTAGAATTTTCCAGTAACGTCTAGCATTTTGTTAACTTTTAATAGTCTAGAATTTTCATGATAGGTATTCTACTTATAAATTCAAGTTTCTAGAAATTTGTAGAAGCTTCAACACTACTCCTTGACACAAATTTATGTAATTCTGAGTATGAATTGTAATTGCTCAAACTTGACTCTTAGTAGTACCTTGGTAAATAGGTATGCAATTTGATCTTTTGTAGCACAATACTCAATTTGAATTTGTCTAGTCGCTTCAACTTCTCTTATAAAGTGATATTTAATAGCTATGTGTTTTATTCTTTGATGATGAACCGGATTCTTTGTCAGTTAATGTTGACTTGTCACAGTAAATAAAAGTAGATCTATGTTGTTGTTCTCTCATTTTTTTCAAGTATTTTCGAAGTCATATTGCTTGACTTTGTAGTTTTTATTGTTTTCACGTACTCTATCTCTATTTTTGATTGTGCTACTGTTGCTTACTTTTTAGATGCTCAAGAAAAAATCCTGATCCAAATGAGAAGGTATAACTTGATGTATTTTTCATATCATCTATTGATCCTGCCCAATCATTGTCAATGTAGCTAATCAATTTTGAGTTGGTCATGATTTTGTATCATATACCAAGGTTCTTTGTGTCTTGTACATATCTTTATATCCTTTTTGTTGCTTTAAAGTGAATTTGGTTTGGTCTTTGTATGAACCTTAATAAAAGGCTTGTAGCATACCTGAGATCTGATTGTGTAGCTGGAAGATATAATAGGCTACCAATCAAACTTCTATAGCGTGATCCATCTACTTTTGGTACTCAAATCAAATTTTTGTAGTTTCACATTTGTCATGAGTGGAGTAGTCACATATTTGCAACCATACATATTGAACTTATTTAATAGAATCTCAATATATTTCTTTTGAGAGATAAATATTAATTCTTTTTGTATCTTACCTCTATGCCGAGGAAATATTCATCAAGCCAAAGTCGTTCATCTCAAATGTTTTGATCATGTCTTCTTTGAATTCTCTTATCATCTCTATTTGTTCTTTTGTAGATAAGATCATTTATATATATATATATATATATATATATATATATATATATATATATATATATATATATATATATATATATATATATATATATATATATATATATATGAGAGAGAGAGAGAGAGAGAGAGAGAGATAATGAGAGTATCATACTAACTTTGAGTCTTGATGTATAGTGTTGGCTCACTCTTGCTCCTCCTGAATCCTTGACCGGTGAAGTAGTGATCAATTTTATTGTAATATGCTCAAGGAGCTTAGTTCAAGCCATATAATGCTTTTCTTAGCCTTAACATTTTGACTTCATTTTCTTTGCTTATAAAGCCTTATGGTTGCTCCACATATATCTCTTCTTGTAGTACACCATTTAGAAAGGCTAATTTGATATCGAATTAGTGAATGTTCCATCCTTTTTGTACTGCAAGAGCTATTAAAGCTTTAATTATGTCTAGGTGAGCAATAAGGCAAATGTCTTAGTGTGGTTGATTTCAGGTTGTTGTTAGTAGCCTTTTGCTACCAGCTTAATCTTGTGCTACTAGTCTAATCTTGTGCTTTTGTATGGTACTATCAAGAAGAGTTTTATTTTATGCACCCATTTTATTTCAATGATGTCTTTTTCACAGGGATAATCTATTAATTCTCCAGTTGTGTTCTTTTCAATCATTTTAATTTCTTCCTCCATGGCCTTCATACTTCTTAGATGATTAGATAGTGTAAATTCTAAAAAATGATTTTTAGAAAAAGATGAATAAGTACAAAAAAAAGATTTATACGAGAAAAGATGGTAATTATTCTTGGAACTATTGTTTTTGTTTATTCATTTGATGGAATGAAAGGGACAGATATATAGCAATCATCCACTGTCATTAGACAATTTTTTTACCATTTACTTCTCCCTAAAATTGTCCAGTAACGCCTAACATTTTGTTAACTTCTATAATAATCTAGAATATTCATGATAGGTATTCTACTTGTACTTGTAGCAGCTTTAACAGTTTGGAATGATAAAATAATGATTGTAGGTGACCATATGAATAGCAAAATTACATACATAACAAATCCTTTTATCTCATGGGACAGGGATGGCCAGGCAGCGAGTCTTGTGATGTTTGTCTTCCAGGTGACAACCACCCTTATTGGTTAACCCATGTGGGTGAAGGACATTCCGTTTATTTCACTATGCCTCAGGATTCTGACGTGAAGGGAATGGTTTTATGTGTTGTTTATTTATTCTCAGCTGAATATCTCAGCATGGGAACTAAATGTCTCACAAGTATCTTAATTGTTAATTACACAAAGTGCACATTCCAGATACACAAGCATGGCACAGTAATTTCCTTCAATGACATAGATTGGGAGGGCATAATATCAAATTTAGGATCTGGAGACAAGGTGGAGATTTTTGTGACTCTTGCTCATGGATTGGTGGTCAAGAGCACAGCTGTCTATCTGATATGTGGTCAATCAGAAGACGTTGAAACGTGGCCTGAGCCAAAGGAAAATGCCCTCTATAAATTCATAAAGAAAATATTTTGACTTCTGGTAAGTCACCGGTCTTTGAGAAAAAAGAGAAAAAGACATTAATTATTTCTTTTTAGTAGTTTATAGTTAAGGAATATTATAACTACAAATGTTTTCTTTTTCTAATTTCTTTTATATTAGATGTCAATTGTATTTTCATTCTGGTTTAATCTTTCAAATTCAATTGTATATATTTAGAATCAATCAGAAAGGATGAAATTTAAGAAGGAAAAGTAAAAAAGAATTAAAAACAACATACATAAAAAAAGCAGGGATAAAAAATAAAAATAGATAATATTATTAAAAATAGTATTTAACTGTAAATAAAATTAAATATAGAAGTGAAAAATGTTGGTCCCATTTTAATTAGTTTTAAAATGAGTTTAGAGATGCTAGACGAGTAAGTTAGAATTCAATGTCAACATAAAATAATAATAATAATAATAATAATAATAATAATAATAATAATAATAATAATAATAATAATAATAATACAATATTTGTTTTAAAATATTTTTATAATTAAAAAATATATTAAAAATATTTTTATAATTAAAAAATATATTAAAAAATATTTTTATAATTAAAAAATATATTAAAAAATATTATAAAAATCTGCATATCATATTATTAGTATTTTGAGTTTAAAAGAAAATTTATATTTAAATAAACATCAATCTTATAAAAAATATTATTTTAAATTACAAAAATACTATTTAATACTTTTATTTGTAATATATATATATATATATATATATATATATATATATATATATATATTAGTCTATTTTTTTTACTGAATTTTTTAGACATTTATTCAAATTATATTTACATTTTTAATTTTTTTGTTATAATCTTTTAAATGGAGGTATATGTAATATTATGTTATGTTATATTATATTAAATTATGTTATATTATATTATATTATTTTATTTTATTTTATATTATGTTATATTATATTATATTATATTATATTATATTATTTTATATTATATTACCTTGTTATATTATGTTATTTTTATATTATATTATATTATGCTTGTTTTTAAAATAAAATAAAAATTTGTTTATAATTGAAAAAATTAAAAATATTTTTCAATAAAATTACTAGTCTTCAGACTGAGTTTTTATAGCTTATCGTACTAAATCCATTAGGTTAATATATATATATATATATATATATTGACTTTATTGTCTTTCACTAAATCATAAAATAATTTTTTAATCTTTTATTTATATTTCTAATGCCAATATATAATATAATATAATAATACTTTACTTCAAATTAATTAATAATTACATTATTTTTTAAATTTAATAAAAAAATATAAAAATGATTATAAATCATTATTCTTGTTCATAATTTTATTAGTTTTTATTATCATTTATTATTTAAATCTTTGTCACCTTTAGGGTAAACAAATTTGAATATTTTGTCTTCTCTTTCTCACGATGTTATGCCATAACACATTATCAGCATTATAGTGTATTCAGCTAAGTAACTATTCTTCTCATTTTATATATTATTTATTATATCTTTTGCAATATATAATGGGATTATTAACTTAATATTATAAATTTTGCGTCATACTTATAATCATATCAAATATTCTATTATTTGAAATTTATGGATAAAATAAGTTCACGAGCCTCGTATTATTTGTTTTGTTTTATTTTAAAAAATGAATGTAGAAAATATTTTATTATTATGTGATGTTCCATGAAATAGATATATTCCATTACCAAAAGTAAATATGAAAAATATTTACTATTATGTATCATTTTCACTAAGTAATTGTGAAAATATTTTATAGTTATGGTTATAGTCGTGAAATTGAATGTGAACTTGAATACGATTGTAATTGTGTTAATTATCATTATTGTAAACATTATTATAAAGGAATTTTTGAGAAAATATCATTAAAAGTGAAATTAAAAAAATTGAAAGAGTAACAAAGAAGATAAATTATTCATAAGAGAATCACATAAAATAAAAGAGAAAAATATTTTTGTATGATGATTTTAAATATGATCATATGAATTTTGTTTATAGGAATGATAATTGTAAGATGCATAAAAGGGTTGGATGGTGAGCTGCCTTCATTACACGTGCCACAATATCCGAAATTAAAGGAAACGGTTAGAAGAACTAAGTGGGAGCGAAAATGGAACGTGTATTTGAAAGACTATGAACTTTGAGAAGAGGCATGTTTTGTGGTATGAATCTTCTTCTAGAAATCTTCTTCTTCCTTCTCTGAATCCTTCATTCTCTGAATTCTGCACCTGAATTCTTCTTCTGATCTGTACATTCATTCTTCCAAGCTCATTTTTACTACAGGTTGAATCTGATATTGAATTCCCATTGGTGGCAAAGACTAAATTGAAGCTACTTGAATTTTAACTAAAGGTATATTGTTTAATTGGTGCTTTCATTTCTCTTCATGGCTGAGAACACAAGGGTGAAAGAGATTCAAGCGGAGTTGAAAATACAAGGTATTGAGATTCAACGATTATTGGAACGATTTGACTGCGAGATAGTCAACAACGTGATTATAATGAGAAAAAAGAAGTAGAAAATCAGGCTCGGTTTGATCAGATTCAATAGCTTTAGATCGATTATTGAGTATTAAACATATTTCTCAGCATTATGAAGAGTCTCCGACGAACGTAACTCTTCTGGTGAAAGATATTTCACTCGACCCACTTTGATGACACGTCTTCGGTTCTGGGTTGGATTTTTAAGGCAGAGAAAATTTTCAATTATCACAGTACACCAGATGTTTCTAGGGTGGAGATTGCAGCTATGCATTTTGATGGTGATGTGGTTCCATGGTTTCAGATTTTACAGAAGGTGGTTGTAGTTAACACTTGGGCGGAATTAACTCAAGCTCTCGAATATCAATTTGACCCTTCACCATTTGATTGTCCTATGTCAGAATTATTCAAATTGCAACAATCTGGTTCAGTTTTTGAGTACTATTTGAAATTCATGTCTCTAGTAAATTGTTCATTTGGTCTTAATGAGGAAGCACTTCTTAATTGTTTTGTGAGTGGCTTACATGTGAATATTAAAAGAGATGTTATGGCTTTGTTTCCTACTTCTTTTGTTGAGAGTTGTAGCTTTGGCAAAACTTTATGAAGATAAATATTATCCTGGCCAAAAACAAAACATCAGCAAAGCTTTTGTTTCAAACTATTCTTCTAGGAATGTTTCTCAATCATTGTCTCAACTGGTTCAAAACCAAAAGGTTAATTTCAAGTCAAACCTTCAAGGTTTATTACCTATTCCAACTGGTCCTCCACTCAAGAATGCCAATGTTAAAAGGATTATTCCAGTTGAGATGCAGTTACAGAGAGAGAAGGGGCTTTGTTACTTTTGTGAAGAGAAGTTTTTTTTTTTTAATAAAAAATGTTCTAATAGACAATATTTGTTTCTTCAACTGGAAGAAGAGGATAAAGTTGAATCTGAGACTATGCAGCAAATGGTTGTGACGGATGATACCAATAATTCAGTGGAAGATCATCATTTATCCTTGAATGCGTTGAAATGAGCAATTGGTGTAGGCACTATTCGATTTGTAGCCTATGTTGATAAATTTCCTATTCAGGTTTTGATTGATGGGGGCAGTTTCGATAATTTTTTGCAACCAAGAATTGCTAAATTTTTAAATTACCGGTGGAACCGGCTTCTATGTTCAAGGTAATGGTGGGAAATGGAAATTACATGAGTTCTGAAGGTAGGATACAATAATTGAGTGTGCAAGCACAAGGACATTCATTTGTGCTCCCTATCTTTTTGTTACCACTTTCTGGTGCAGATTTGATTCTAGGAGCTAGCTAGCTAAAAACCATTGATCCTCATATTGCTGACTATGACACATTACAATTGAAGTTCTTAGATGATGGAAAATTTACTATCTTACAAGGAGATAAAGATTTGATTCCAGTACAAGCACAATTACATCATATTAGAAGGATGATGCATACCAATTCCATAGCTGAAGTGTATAGTATGAAAGTGATTGAAAAGAATTCTCCTTCTTTTCCATTGTTGGATTTACCTGCTGACATGGAGCCTGAATTAGCTGTATTATTGCACACATTTGGATCAGTTTTTGCTACTCATGTTAGGTTACCACCTACAAGGTCTCAAGATCATATTCCATTGTTGGAAGGTTCGAAACTTGTGAAAGTGAAGCCTTATAGATATCCACATAGCTAAAAGGAAGAAATTGAGAAATTGGTGGAGGGAATGTTGAAAGAAGGCATCATCCAACATAGTAGAAGTCCTTTTTCTTCACCTATTATTTTGGTCAAGAAAAAGGATGGGTCATTGAGGGTTTGTAGGATTACAAAGCTCTTAATGCAGTAACCATCAAAGATAGTTTTCCCATTCCAACAATAGATGAGTTGATAGATGAGCTTTTTGGTGCTCGGTATTTTTCTAAACTTGATCTTCGATCTAGATATCATCAAATAAGATTAAATCTAGAAGATAGATACAAGACAACTTTTAGAAGGTCATTATGAGTGGCTAGTTATGCCCTTTGGATTGACTAATGCCACATTTCAGAGTTTGATGAATGACATTTTTGGTGGCATGTTGAGAAGGTTTGTATTGGTCTTCTTTGATGATATTTTGGTATACAGTAATACATGTAAGGACCATTTATATCATTTATAAATTGTTTTAAGCACCTTGAAGAAACATGAATTGCTTGCAAGGTTTTCTAAATGCTATTTTGGAGTGACACAAATTGATTTTTTGGGACATACCTTGTCTGGTAATGGTGTAACTATGGACAATAACAAGTTGGAGGCAGTTTTAGCATGGCCTCAGTCAAAAAGTTTGAAACAATTAAGAAGAATTTTAGGCCTTACAGGTTATTATAGGAGGTTTGTGAAGCAATATGCTAGTATTGCAGCTCCATTGACTGAATTACTTAAGAAAGATGCTTTTCTTTGGACAGCTAAAGCAACAGAAGCTTTTACACAGTTAAAGTTAGTTATGACC